TCATGGGACCTGACTTGGTAGATCCTTGATTTACTCTATTGTTAATTCCTTTCCTATGATTCATAATGGCAGATAGGGGAATCCAGTGTTGAATGATGCAGAAATAAAATTAGAAAGTGAAAATGAAACCTTCCAATATACTATTCAGAAACTCATGGAAACCATAGTTGAAATCCATGGAAACTCTGTGAGTACATGGAATGTTTCTGTAGTAGTGTTTCTGTGTTCACGGTAAGACCGATGTTCAGGGCATATCTGGAGAATGAATAAATCATATTTAATTGAAGTAAAACTTGTCAAGATTTTTATCACATTTGTAAAAATGCATTTTGCTTTTACCTGGTTTAAAGCAATGCCATTTAAGCTGTCATTGTGCCAACGCCAAGATACCAAGATTAATCACGATATGCCTAATACACTTGGTGGTGTGTACTGAAATCTACCTGGAAACACACACTCTCTCTCTGTCTCTTTCATATTGGATTATTCATTATTTGTGGTAATAAGATATACAAAGATTTCCAATGCTAAGGATCTGGATGCTGCAGCCTGGGATATCTCTCACCCCCAATAACAGCATATGACTTTGGAATGACCAACAAATTCTCACCTTGAGATCATTATGCATAAAATATTCCTCCAAAAGTGATCTTTTCAAGAAACTTCCAAAACTTATCATGAAGAGAAACTCTGGATGTAATTTTTGTTAGCACAGTCTCCCCTTAAGTGGGAGTTTCTGAATTTGAACAATCTATGGCCAATATTTCTACAAGGCCTGGGACAAAGTTCTACCTATACATGAATTCTCTTTAAGGAAGACAGCCTGACATAAGCAGTTTAGCTTCCATACTCCATAATGAAAGGGTCCTGGGTAGCCTAACTGCTCAACAGGAAGGAATGGAACACTTATTGGGGAAAATGCTGCTTCTAAGATAATAAACCCAGGATTGTCGCCCAGAATCTTAAAGATCTAAAGGATGGATCCAGGTACTTCATGTGACCAAGGAGATGTGATCAGTGGACCCACCTCCCAAACCAATTGGTTAACTCTGGGCTCCTGGACACCTGGCTCTGGAATGTTCTCCAGGCCCTTGGTATCATTCTCACCTTGTTGCAGTAACAACACTCCCTACATGTGGCGTATCCTCAAGAGACATGAACTTTGTCAGCAGCCACATGCTCTTAAGATGACCTCTAGGAGCACTAAGCCACCAAAACTGTATTCACAAAAACCATGTGAAGGATCTGCGGAGTCCTGGTTTACCATCTATGGCGTCCTCTGAAGGACAAACATCGGGAGTAATCTTGGGGATTAGTTCCATTTCTGGTCCAACTGACAGATTGACCAACGGAGGGAATTGTTAAACAGAAATGTAAATGAGGCCACAGACGAATGTAGACCAAAACCATGGCTAGGCACGGTGTGGGGTGCCGCAGTCTGGCTGGGAACAATAATGGGGGGGGTGGTGACAAGCAACTTGTGAAGGTTGATACAGCCGGAGCTGCTTTATTCTGGGACAGCAAAGGTATATATACACTTAACTGATTATACACAGCTTGTTTCAATTAACATCATCCAGATACAGCAATCCTCATCATCTTAACAATTATACACAGCTTAACTCAATTAACATCAACTAGATACAGCAATTAGCCAATAAGGAATCTCTATCATCTTAATGGCTCGATGGTGTACTTTATCTTAATAATTATACACAGCTTAACTTAATTAACATCATCTTAATGGCTTGCTGGCATTATTTCTCAAACCACTCCTTCTGGCAAACTGCCAGGCGCCATCTTGACTTGGTTATGGCTCTCAACAATGGGGCACCTGCCTGTAATCTCAGACACTCAGGAGACTGAAGCACAAGGATGTGAGTCTGAGGCCAGCCCAAGCAACTCAGGGAGACCCTGACTCAAAATAAAATTTTAAAAGGGCTGGGGTGTAGCTCAGGGATAGAGCACCCTGGGTTCAACCCCCAGGGCTTCAGCCAAACAAACAAACCAACAAGAACAAAGGGCCCACCACATGCAGCCCTAACTGGACACTGTCCTGATTTCCCCAGAGCCAGCTCTAGCCCAGACAGACCTCCCTCTCCTGCTGTGAGCAGGACCTTGCTGCTGTCCCAGGGGTTGGACACCAACCAGGGAGCCCCCGCAGCAGCACAGCCTAAGGGGGGCAGGTTCCTAGTGGCCAGGCTCAGGGACAAATGCACTCCCTCAATGACGCTTCAACAACTGAGTGTGAGCACTGCTGTGAGCTGAGCTCTTTGTCATTTGCTGTTCAAAGTCCCTGAGTTTGTGAGCTGCTGTAGGTGCCACAGAAGGTCTCAATGCCTCTCACTTGACTGACTTCCTATGTGTACACAGGTGCGTGTCCACACCACTCTACTAGTGACTTGAAGGACTGGACAGTGTTCCTCTGTGTGCAGGTGAGTGGGGTTTCCAGCATGTCCACGTGTCCCTTAAGGCCATGATGCTGGGACAGAGAGGGAGGAGGCCCCACACCTGGCCAGGCCCTGCACAGGCTCTCCCTGCCCTCCTTCATTTCTCTCCCTCACGGCCTGGGAGACAGGAATCACTATCCCTGCTCTTCTGAAGTGGAGCTCAACTGACTGAAGTGAAGCCCCACACTCCACAGTCAGCAGGCAGAGGAGCAGGATTCTAGGCTGGCCCTGGGGAGGTTGGAGGCCCACACCTGTCCATTGCTCTCTGCAGCCAGGTATAAACTCTTGGAAGGATTAACTCCTTCTACTGTTGTTTGACCTTGCAGAACTCCACAGACACAGCGTACTGAACCTTTGGAGGGATGCTATTAGCCAAAGAGGTTCACATGGGACTGAACCCCACTGTAGAATGAAAAAATGGTCACTCTTCTCTCCCTGAACTCACTGATAAGCAGGACTAGCAGTAGATACTGCCAGAGGGAAGGAGCATGATTCCTTCAGTAATGCTGACTGAGTGCCTGCTGTGCCAGCCAGTGTGAGGACCAGCACATAACTGTGGCTGTGCTCGTACTCTTGATCTTAGCCCTTGTGTTCAATAGAGAAACCAGGCTTACTTGGTGGAGCCAGATGGACCACATAGCCATTTCCCACATAGATGACCCAGTGCTGATAGCAGTAGCGAGAAATTTCAATTAGGTCTCCAAGTTTTGGTTGTTTTCCATCCTGCAACCGAAAAAGCAGACACAGTTTGAGGGGGCCTTTGTATGGAATGTTCTAGAACCTGACCTGCAAGAAGTCCCAGCCCAGGCCTACAGAATCCCTGTCCTCATCACTTGTAGGAATCCCACATAGGTTGAAGCCTCTTCTTTTCATTTACCATATGCTTGCTAGCCTGGAAAGCTGCTAAAGGACTTCGGGTCAGAGATTGTCTTTGAGGTACTAGTGGTTCTACAGTATGGAAATGTGGGGCAGTGACGGAGCCTCTGGGCTCCAGCTGCAGAGAGCACATTTTATGCACAGAGAATATTTGTATGAGAAAATGATGATAAGATTCCCAAGAAGGTCTATAATGACTCATTAAGGGCCACCAGCCATATGCCCAGGCCTCAGTGATGTTTTTAAGTTACAGAGAGCCCACGTACAGAGCCTAACCTGCCAAACACTGCAGAATACTTGCACCCCACTGTCCACCACTCCTTCAAGTGAGAACTACCATCACCCTCCTGGACAGGTGAGGAGACTGGGTCTCAGGATGGTTAGGAAACTTGCCTAGAGAGCAGAAGAGGCAGAGGAAACTGAGATCTCAGGGTTTCCATCATTTATGCCTGAACAATCCCAGAAGGTCCCAGACAAGTTGAGGCAGCTGGAGTCTGGGCTCTAGGCAAAAATCAAGAATAAGAAAGACAAGAATTGGTTGGGAGTCAGAGGGGGAGGGGTTCTCTTCTGAAGTTCACCTGAGTGAATTGTATTTGGTCAATGGGAGTAAGGCTTTTCCTGTTTAGAGTCTTCAAATTGCTACTTACGGTCTGTTTGCAACTATGATCTTGTCTTTTTAAGAAGCGTTTGGGGGGAAAACAAAGATTTGGGGGGTCACAGCTGTTACAAATTGATTAGTTGTAAAAATATACATTAATGTATTTGGTGGGAAAAATGGTATTGTTTTTTGATGATATAATTAAAATATTTTCTAGAAAGCATGAATCAATAAAGATATCTAATTAATTGTAAAAAAAAAAAACTACAACAAAACCTAAAGCTATAAAACAACACTTATAAGGTAGCTGTATACGTTTGCATAGAAACAGGTCTGGCAGAGTGTACCCCAAGCTGCTTGTGGGGAAGGAGAGAGCGCAGGGAGCCTGGGAGAAGGGCTGCCGTCCTTCATGCTCATGGCTTCGACTTTGCTTTCAGTTTCTATCTTTTTAAAATTTTTTAATTCTCTTTCCATTTGTTTTTATTAGTCCATTACACTTGTACGTAATGATGAGCGTTTTGTTGCCTATACACACATGCACCCCATGTAGCAATTATGTTGGCCGATATCACTCCCTAACACCTCCCTCTTCTCTCCCCTCCTCCCACCCCCTGGCCCCTTTCTGCTTTTGGATTCTTAAACAAGGGAAATACTTTCACATATTATTGTGGAATTAATTAAAATAAAAACAGAACTAAAGGCTTTGGAATCTAAACTCCCCTCTAACTTTGGACACTCCCCACTCTGATCTTAAACTGGAATCTCACTCTGCATTTCCTCCTTCACAAGGTGTTTCTGGACCTGGTTTGGGTAAACAAAAGCCTTCAGCGAGGTGCCAGGAGGCAGCCAGCACTCAGGAGACCAAACCCCACACAGCAGCGGAGGCAGGGAAGCCTCTGGGCTCTTGGACCCAAACCAGGGTTCCTTTCCTGCTGCGTGAGAGCCCCAGGCCTGCAGCCCTCTGCCCCTGCTAAAAGACTGTCACTATTGCTTTTAAAATGAAAGCTTTAAAGCCCTTTCGGGAGACTTACCAAAGTCATTCTTCTGTCCACAAGTGTGGTGTGTTGCTGGCTGGATGTCCAGACTTCTTTTCGCTTTGAGTTTATTTTTCTTTAACTCCACCTTTCCAAGCTTTCAACTAGTGGAAATGTAGATCAAAGTTCACATAAAAATTTTAATCTTCAAAAAAGTGCAGGGCACACGTCCAGAGACAGTTAGATATGGAAATCGGCCGGAGGGGAGAGAGAGCAGAGCTCAGTGTTCATTCAGAAAGATTTGGTAAAATCTCTAGTCAGGGGAACATTCCAAAATCCCCAAGTGGAAGGAACATCTCCAAAACAGGCAAACCTTTTGACCAATCACACTTCAAAACCAATCACATCACCAGGAACAGACTACCAGAAACACATTCCCACATCCTTGAAACCCAGGGAGCCTGTGCAGCCAGAAAAATGGAAAAAACCCGACCCTTCCTCTCCCCCCCAGGTCTGAAGCGCATTCAGTGTAGCCCAACAGGAAACCCAAACTCTTACTACCTGGTGTGAAGAGGCTGCTGCTTTGAAGCACCAGTGTGCTACCCCACCCAAGCCCCAAATAAGTCTCTCTCTTCTGACACCCATTTATCCACGTCACATCCTGGGCAGTCCAGACAGCAAGGCGTGGGAGGGAATGGGGGCAGCTTGTTGTAGGGACAAAAGAGGCAAAGCACCAAAGGTAGCAGGAAACAGTTTTATTTGGCTGCAGCCAGGTTGAGAGGACACAGCTTTTGCTGTAATCAATCAATTCCCTGAACGCCAAGTTCAGCGAGTTTCAGAGTTTTATACCCAGTGTGTAAGGGGAAGGGCTCAGAAGTTCACAGTCTGCAGAAATTCACATAAAAGCAGCTTTTTCTTTCACTGTTCTGGGCAAGTTAACACTTCAAGGACAGTGACTGAGAGGGGGAGAGCTTCTTCTCCCCTTTCTTTCCTCCCCCTGCCAGCTGTGACCATGGAGCCCAATTAGTAATTTATCTTAAAAAATGTAGACATCTCTGTGAAGCCCAGCTCAAGGCCAGAGGCCTTGTTTGCACATTTCTTCAAAGTACTATACTGGATACGTTTGTGAAAAACTAGTAAGAGAGTATCCTGCACCTGGAGTGCTGGTATCTTCCTGGCCAGTGGCCAAGTAAAACAGGGCGACATGAAAATAGGAAGTTTATCGACATTGAACTCTTTTGCAGAGACTCTTTTGCTGACAGTCCTAAAATCAGCCATGGTGAAGATTTCTGGAGAAGCCCAGTTAAGACCTTTCTGTGGAGAAAGGGGCTGCCACTACAAGCTCAGCATACACATTGTGAGGCTTGGGGAGGAAGCAAGGACCAGCCCGATGCCCTCTTCGGGCTCCTGGGAAAACAGAGCTGTGGGGTGCACACCGGGGGGCTGGAACCAAACCTGGGAGACTCCGTGTTCAGGATCCACAGTGTCACTGCAGACCTGCTACTCCTGCAGCCCATGCTGTTCCTGTGGACACGTGGCCTCTCTCAGCCCCTCCATGCCAATGTCCTCGGGGTTGCAGAGGGACCCCCCTCAAGGTCTTCCCCATCCTCATTCTGGAGGGAAAGAGCAGGGGTGGGCTCGGCTAGTTCCCTCACATACAAATTGGCCAGAGTCGTGTGGGCTGACTCCTCTTGGCCACACTGGACATTTTTGGGTGACTGACGAGGTGATCTCACTTGGCCCATTGGTGCCAGCCACTTTTGGATTTTTTCAAAACATTTTTTTAATTGTCAATGGATCTTAAATTAATTAATTTATTCCTATGCAGTGCTGAGGATCAATCCCAGAGCCTCACACATGCCAGGCCAACATTCTACCCCTCTGAGCCATAAGTCCAGCCCTGGGTGCCAGCCACTTTTAATGATATCACAGCCCCTTTTTCTGAGCAGGAGGACTTGAAGGGATGGCAGGTGAGGTGGGCACAGGGACGATCTTTATAGTGTCCAGGGTGAAGGCAAAAGAAAGGTCACAGTCCTCGTGCTAGCACTTGTAGCTCTTCAGCCAATCCAATGTGCTCAATGTCAGAAACTCAGGCCCAGGAGTCACATGGAGGAGTCAGCAACCAAGGTGGGCCCAGCTGGAAGGCTGCCTGTCCCCACTGCTGCCTGTAGCTCTGAGCAGGCCGGGGGAACCAGTGTGCTCCCCCTGGGCAGAGAATGGGGCAGAGTCAGAGCACAGGCCCAGCCTTCCAGGAACACTAGGACACTGCACCAATGAGCTGCAGAACCAGCACTTTGTAGTTTTTATTATTTTGAGACAGGGTCCTGCTGAGTTGCCAAGGCTGGCCTCAAACTTGAGATCCTCCTGACTCGGCCTCTTAAATTACTGGAATGACCCCTGTGCACCACTGTGTCAGTGTGCTAGCTTGGATTTTGAAAGACTATGAAAATTCCACTATGATATGGAAGTCGATTTTCCATGGGAGACAATTTTCAAGTGCACATCTGTTTTCTGTGTCCATGGGGCTTGAGTACAGGTCTTGGGCTGGGGAGGGGAGGCACTGAGAGTGGCGTGTGAAGGGAGACAGGTCCCTGCTGTAGAAGGCGTGTATCTGGGCCTTGAGGGCTGGGCTCACACTCCGTCCACACTCAGCCTGCATTCTGGGCTCCTGGCTGGTGAGCTTCTTCCTTGCCTGCCTCTCTGTGAGGAGAGTTTGGGTCTCTCCAAGCCCCACAGAACACCCCTGTCCCCCTTCTTCCTTCCATAGTCTTTTCCTCCCAGTTCAAGGTGATTCTTGCCTCA